TACAAATGGGAACCCTCACTGAATGCTCGTCCCTTCCCATTGTCTCACTGAGTCGTGTTAGTCCATTTGAAGTCTTAAAAGAACTTTGGAGTGTTAAAAACAGGCGTCTATTTGCTCTGTTTTGACGTTTTTGTAGGCTAATTTCTCTACAGCTGGAGCACCTCTGCGGGCCTGTTGTGCTTAGCAAAGCTTCACGCGTGATCGGCGAGGTGGTATTGTTTGTTTACTTTGATTAGTGGTAAACAAGTGGAAAAGACCCTCAGCGGGGTATCAAGATAAAGTTAACAGATGATCGAAATGATTTTCATTACTCTATTACATTAACCTGGAACAACAGCTAGGAGTGTTTTGACTCTCGCTGTAGCGGGCCCTTTCGAGGAGCAACAGACCTAATAAAACTATTAACAGTCATCTTCAAAGTAGTTTAAGAGTGCTTAGAGCCAATGAGGCCCTATTCGGTCTATACTGGATCAGTACAGAGCCAAGAAGCGAGTATGTGTCAGTGAGGTTTATAGCTACTGTTGGGAAAGTGACGTGTGTTTAGAATAAGGGTGCGGTTTGAGCCCCTAACGCTGTTGAAACGGAGTATATCACAAAGCAAAACAAACAAAAATAGGTAGTTTGTATACTTAATGGACTTTTCAGCAACCTTTGCTTAGAGATCAATCATTTTAGGGCAAACGAGCAAAGGATGTTGTCGATAATGAATGCCACTCTTTGATAAAATCATGGAGATGAACGGATGCCCTGATAAAGACCTACTTATGTCTCCGTTATCTCAGAAAATGCAAACGCATGTATGCTTACTTCCATTCCTAACACTTTTGCATGCTTTTCTTTAATAGAGTACTTTTTAACCCCAATTTGAAAATCGAAACAAACATACACATTGAAAGAACTAGACAACATAAAAATACACATTATATAGAGCGACAGACTTGAGTCGGCTAAGAAGACAAAAGTCTGTAAAGTGCTCAAGAATGAAGGATATAAGGTCTTTTGATATTTCGACAATTTTTTTTTTATCTTTAATCGGTGAATTTGATCTACATTTTTTATTTCTCTTCAGCGACCGTGTAGGGCATGCCCTCATCGCAATCTCTGATCGCAGACTAAACTGACTTTAGTTTTACTTAAGTTTCATATGATGGCGGATGGGTTTATCTGGCGATCATAGCCTTCGTGATATCAGATCATGGTTAAAAGAGCTATGAAAAGGGCTCATGTTTGTAATTTCTCTCTGGCTCTCTGTGCGAATTAACAATTTTACAAGCAATTACATTTGTAAAATAATGCACGTGTAGCAATGAATAACACATCAGAAATTTTGTGCGTTGCCATGGTGACTGCAACTCCAATCAACTTCATATCTTTGAGTTATTCCCTATGAAAACTGTCTTTCCAAAAATGCAAAAAGAAAACACCAACCGGCTATTTTCTATCAAGTTTATCTTCATTATAAGACATCTGACAGAGGAACAGACAGTCGGTATATGCAAATAACAAAACAATAATTAAAAGCCCATTGATTGTGGCAAAAACCGCAAAGCCACAATCCTTTGTTTTCAATCGTATGGAAATACTTTGCTACCGTACCTGCATCCAACTACCGTAAAATCAATGTCGAACTTGTGCCATGAACAGATCATCATCGGGAAAATTGGCAATTAACAAATATACGATGCGCTTGATATAACTTACAAACCGGCGTTCACCCGGTAAATAAGACCGGCTAATCCTTCAAGACGATAAGATTGGTTACACATCACAGCCCAGAAACCTGAGTGCACCAAATGAAGATTTGATCAATAAAAATCTCTGAAATGAACTGGCAAAACTCCGTAAATTATGTGAAACTGAAAAGCTTTAAAATGTAAATGCCCGAGAGGGTGGGGCGCAGGGTGAAGCAGTTTCGTTCCCGGGGGGGTTACTTGGATTAATTTTTGTTGGGTATGTGCCGCTGGCCTTTCAAAACCTCCTCTGAACCCCTAATGAGCTGATACACTCGGTTAAACTTAATGTGGTATAAATCTTCCTATTTTTAAATCCTTAATAGTAAATGTAGTCGGGAAAATGCTACCACAACCAGCGGCACGTTAGCCGTTTGCTAGGAAGTAACCCCCCAAACCCCCCCCCCCCGCCCTTCGGGGTTCCCCTGGACTGACCGTGGAACCCGTATGTGGCAGACTGTGGAACCCATGACCAATGATAAAGAAAAAAACTGCAAAAAAACTGTGGACAAAGATGCTGCTGGTCGTCAACGTTGAAGAAGAAGGAGAGATCATATTTAAAACCAACAACGAGACGCCCACAGACTAATGTAAAGGTGATAAAAACGTATATGAAAAATGCACTTTATTTGAGTGTCAATTTATTTAGCACGAAAGTGCTAATTGGGGACACTATATTTTACTCCATATTTTTTTCCTATTGGAGACGGGACCGCCATTTTACGTGGTCATCCGAGCCACGCGAAGGTCCAGCCGCCTGCAGGGCAAAGAGAGTACCTTCATTTCTCAGTTAGGAGTTTAAGACCCTGAGTATTGGTCCGGCACCGGGAATCAAACCCGCGACCTCCCTCTCTGAGTGCAGTCAAGCGCTCTACCGACTAAGCTCATCCTGCCGCGGTTAAGTTTCTCAATGATAGTTCGACCAGCCTTTCAGGGGCACCCAACGACAATTTTCGGAAAAATATCTGTTCGGGAGACGATTTGAGATATAGAATTTTCGAAACATTTGTTGTAAAATTTCTTGCTTGCCTGCCTCTCCTAGGATTTTCGAACATCTAAAAAATGGTAAAATTGCCCATTTTCAGCGGGTTTTTACCCTAAAAAGGTCACCAAAAAATTTTCGGGAGCCTTTTTTCTGGCTGAAATTTTCGAACGGGTAAGTATTGATCCCTATAATTTTCAGATCACTAGACTTTCAGCTAGGAAATCCGAACAGATGAAAAATTTATAGGGGATAAAAATATGCCCATATCCACTGTTTAAATACTAAAACACGTTTAACAATGCTATGTTTAAGTGGTTTTGAACTATATTCTCGTTGGGTGCCCCTGGCCTTCCTCAATTCTAAACCTTTCTCAATGATAGTTCGACTAGCCAGACAAACCTTCTTCTGGTTCATGAAAGATTAAATACGATTGGTTGATAACTGGTAATAGGCAGAAACGAACAATGACGAACTCCTGTATAGACATAGACAGATTTTATAACAATACTCGTTTTTTGGTGACGAGCGGAGTGTTGGCCTATCGTCGACCTGCTAGCTCACCATCGATATCCTGAACAGTGATTTCGTAGGTTTCAAATGGCAAACTGAGTAGCGTTAAATAGATTGTGGAAAAAAGCAATTTCAATTAACTTCTTTGCAGGGTTTTTTCCTGACCTTTTCCTCTCTTAACCTTGAACCGTTTCTCTATTTAAAAGCGGATATTGTGCTCAGGTATCAATACACAATTATTGACGCCTTGCTTGTTTACATGGCAAAGCCAATATTCTATGCTTGCCTCACGCAAAAATTAGACAGCTATACAGGACAATTTTTTTTTCGCCCTGATGTTTGTCTAGCAAAACACCTTCCGCCATTACATATCTTACATGCAAGCTTCTCATACACTTGCTAAGCGCGAAAAACTGAATCGTCTCATGTGACGCAACTGGGGGCGTGAGCCATGAAAACCAGTAGATGAATTTTATTTACATTGGAAAGGCTTGCCAGTATTAGTTAAAGTGGTCATTTATCATTTCGTTATCTACTTCTGTCATCCTTGGCTGACTCTGCTCAAACCAGAACCACTTAACTATTTAAAAGTTTTCATGCGTCCGCCGAGTCATGATTTTTCTTCAGGTCCCGGCTTTGTTTAAACCTTAAAACGGAACCCTTCCTTCACGATCCGCCTTGGTTGTTTTATAGCGAGGCTCCTTTGTAAAGAAAAAATTTAGAGTTGAATGAAACGGGTAGACTCCACTACCCTTAAAAATCACTTGTAACCAAAGCACAGGCTTCAAATGGGCCCTTTTAGCGCACAAAAAGGCCAGTTTTTGTGTTTCGTGCTCATGGCCGCATCCACGATGGTCATTATTCAATTTTCTAACATAGTTTGACCTTGCGATCTGTATTTTAATACAACGTAATTAAATATTTCATCGTATCAATGCAAATCTGCCCCTGGCATTGGGATAAACACATCCTTAGTCACGTTCAAATTTTCCAGTGATTCAGAGATGTCGCAATTTTAACAATTTGTTGCCAGTTCTAGGAGAAAAAGAAGAAGAGAGGGTGGACATGGAGCTTCTTTGACTCTTCCGAGTTTTATTATTATTAGTATTATCATTATTATTATTGTATTATTGTTATTATTATATTAATTGCTTCGCTCAGGCTCTTCTCATGTAATATGATGAGTCTTTTTGTCTCAACAGTCCAACTGAACTCCCAGCATACTGACAAATGGGCTCACTTACTCACTTGTGCGCCGTCAAAGCAGAAAAAGAAAAAGCTTTCCTTTTTATAATGATTTCAGTTTTCTTTTTTCGCTTTTGTATAAATTATGCCGCAAACCTTAATTCATGTATAGTTACTAACACAACTCGCCTTTGTACGGGCAATGTGATAGAGAAACCGGAACAAATAGGTGAGGTATCACTTGATGGGGTCACGCTATTCAACGGGGGTCGTCCGTGAGTTTTTTTCGACTCCTCCGCTAAAACGTTAAAGTACCTCCCCAGCCTTGATTGTGCAAGTAGCAATTGCTTATAAAACCTTCGAGAAAATGAAAATATATATGCTGCTGTCGGGAAAAAGATGTTCCGCTGTTACACTCGTTTTAAAAATATATCGTGATACATTTAGAGTAAAGCACTTCAAACTGTCTTCATTTTAGGACTTTTATTCCATGTTTTTTTACATTTTCATTACAGTAATTAGCATGATAAGTGACGTCACGCACCTCACGATTGGACATTGCGTTATATTTATAGTGCTCATTCGTTTCCGCTGCAGTCTGGACTCGACAATACGACGGAAAACTGTAAACATTGCTACGGGCAAATAATCGTAGTTTTGTTAAGAACACGTGCTTGCTGAACTCTTCCCAATTCGAAGAACGCATGGAAGCAGCTGTGGTGAAAGCTGATGTATGCGAATTGCCGATTTGAAAAAATACAGGAGAGACAATGCCGCCGGGGGAATATGTAAGTCGGCCGTCCGAGGATTCGCAGCCTTGCACTTCACGTTCAACATGGCATGATTTTCGGCGATGGAAAACCCCCACGCAACTTTTTATGATATGCTTATTACCATTTATTCTTATCTTCGTGGGCTGTGTGTTGATGGGGCTCGTTTGGTCGGAAAGAGTTGAGTCTTCTCGACAGATTGTACTCACGTGCGGAATGGTATCGTTCTTCTCTGGGTTCCTTACGTGTGTGATCGCAAATTTCTGCGATGCATGCGGGCTTACATGTATGCGATACGATGAGCCCTTGGAGAGTGAGGTGCAAAACCAAACTTTGTTCGTTGATCTGGGAGACTTAGGACCCAGCTTGGTTGATCAGGAGGAAAACTTAGCCGGTGACAGTGATAAGTCGGAGGTTCAAACAACGCTCGTTGAATTAGAAGAGAATACCGCCGGGTAGTTAAGACGTCGTCTCTTGTTTTTCCCAGGCTTATTCTGGAATAATCGATCACGCAAGAACACAATAAGAGAGGAGATGGAAAGAAACGATTATACCAACTTGTTCCCGTAAATATTATCAACATTAGTGGAAGGAACGGATTGAAGTTTTGGGCCCCCTTTGTTTATTGTCGTTGAAGTTTGATATTTTTGCACACGGCATTGCGCAATATGACTTCGTTTCTTTGTCTTGAAAGCCAAAGACAAAACAATGGCGTTTTTTTTGCGCTGTTCGTGTCACACAAGAAAAACGAACTTTCTTGGATAAGACAGAGTTCGAAGTTACTTTTCAAAGCCTTGAGAGAGAAGCAAGTCTTAGTGCTTTGGATTTTTCAAGCCCGAAACAACATTTGAACAATACAAAATTGTGAATAAATTAGCTTCCTGTTTTATAGGAAATTTCATTGTCACGTTCGAACTAGTGTAAAATATTTTACTTCCCAGATAATTTTTACCTTGATAATTATTGACTGCGTTAGATTTGTTAAGTTGTGTTCTCAGCTTCCACAAAGTGGCTTTTCTTCATGTTTCTTGTTCGTCTAGCTTCAGGTTTTTTCCTCTGTTATTTGCAAAGCAAACAACGGAAAAATTTGATTTGAGAGCCTCTTTGCAGAGAATAAAATTTCCATATACTGACTCTCTTATATACGCAGAGAGTAAAATTTCCATAACCAAATCTAGAAAAGGTTTCATTCTAAAAAGAAATTCTTTAATAATTCAAAGGTTGGGAAAAGCGGCATTGTCTTATTTTCGCATCGCTGGTTCACTGGATAAAAGTCGTTTGGAATTATTATCTGTTTTGCTTTGTACGTTGTTATTTTTAATATTCTGTAAACTATTCTATTTTCGATTTTAGTAGTTAAGGGAATCGTAAAACAACTCCACATTCAAACTTGCCCTGGCTAATAAAAAAGAGTACTTAAAGTTTTGAAAGCAATCTTTGACTTCAGTAAACGCCGTACTTTTGACAATACCAGGATTAGAATTCATAGCTTTAATAAATGCCCTTTTTCCAGTTCAATATATTGAAGAATGTTGCGCTATCTTCACATTGTGTTTTCTTGATTCTTTCACACTTTTAAATGCATGAAATTCATGAAAACGTACACGCAATGGCTATTGCAGCACATTTTCCCTGTTTTTATTTGTCCAATCATGTTTCTTTTTATCCTAAACGAAGCTCTGATTCAAGATTTGTGACTGACTTGGCTTTATAGGGGCTGTTTGATTGTTTTTATTTTCTTAGCGGGGGACGGGGGAGGAAGGATAGCAGAAGCATAGCTTACTTTAAGCTATTAAGCACGGGCTTAAAAAAAAAACAATGGGGTTAGCTCAAGTAATCGCATGTTAAAGACAAATAAGGCTGTATTATTTTTGCCTGAAAGAGCCCGTCTATGAGAGCTCGCTCACTCAAGTCACCTTGAAATTGAAAGTGACTTGCTACTTTGTCCTCAATCCCCGCCCTACGCCCCTTCAGGAATTCCAGAGTCCGTTCGTTGACAACTCGCTACTTATTACTCATTTAACCCTTTAAAACCTAAGATCAAAATTTGAATTCTCATTTGTTGCCCCTATTCATCTCTTACAGAAGTAGTGGGGAGAAGTTGATAAAATATCAAGCAAATCCATCTTATGTGATCATGTCTGTAATTCTCATGACCACTCTGTTTTACAACGCACTGATATTACAACGAGAAATTTGATGCTGATCACTCTTAGGGCTTAAAGGGTTAACGTAACATTGTACAGCAAAAAGGGACGGCTGTGCTGTAGTTTATAGGGTCAGTGTACATAAACTTTGCCTGCACGTACTACCCACCCCCTCCCCTGTTAGTACTTATACAACTCGGGCTTAAAAGATAAAAGGTTGGCTATGCCCCTGAATCGGGTTACAGTGGCGGATCCAGGGGAGGGGGCCCTTGCCTGCGTGCAGACGTCTCCTATTTCCCTTGTTGCACGCGTGCAACAAAGGAAATAGGAGACGTCTGCACGCAGGCAAAGGGGGCTCAGGCCTCGTCTTATTTTTAGACCAAACTGAGGCCCCGAAGAGCAGAAAAATGTTTTTGGGGACCGCCCCCCCTTTATCTAGGGGTCTGGATGACCGGTCCCCACCCCCCACCCCCTATCTCAAGGTCTGGATCGGACACCTGTACTGGGTTATATGTGAGAATGAAAGAAATGAGGTTGGGACTGAATGGGTATACAAACTACCAAAGCCGAGGAGGGTCTTCGGTCTTCTGACTTCCGACTTCCGACTTCCGACCTCCGTAGCAATAAAAGGCGGTGGTAGGCCTACACGACTTTTACCTTATGCCAAAATGCTGCTTGTTTCAATAACTTTTTTTTCCTTCTGCTGGGTAGATTGTGCCATAGAAGGTTCTACATTTTTTACTGAGCAAATGCGATTTTAGCCGCTCGTCTCACACTGAGAGGTCATGGCACACATATCGATTGACAGTGGTTTTTGTTTCTGGTCTGCAGGATTTGCCCCCTGATGAAAAAGCATTTTCTTTGACCTCGTTTAAAGCGTAAGGCTTTTTATTACGGCTGAGTAAGGCTCTAATTTTTCTCCAAAGTGCCTTCTGGACCTAAATAACTAAGCGATTTTCTTTAGTCTGTGAATCTGCAATGTTTTATCACGCTGGGTCCAGCTCGTTAGTTTTCTTTGCAGTGTTAAATTATCACGGATAGTGATTTACAGATCCAAAGTTATATTATAAGAATGAAGTGCAGCTTACAATGAAGCCGCATCTATTATGTTGAATTGCATTGTGACTCAGTATATTCCAGCTTAGTGTTTTTCTAGTCTTTTGACTGGAGCGGGTATTTCCTTCCTGGGTAATAGTTGCCTAGTTGCTTTTTCAAGAGCAAGTTTAGTTGTTCTCTTTTGTGGCGAGAACGGTACAGCCGTCCTTTCCACTGAGCTTTGACTTTAAGCACTAATACCCGCGTGGTGGATCGAGCGGCAATCGAGCCAAACAGAAGAGTCAAGTCAGAAGTCAGAAGTTGGAAATTAGAGGTGGGAAATCGGAAGTCTGAAGTCGGAAGTCGGGAGTGAGAAGTGGGAACTGGGAAGTGGGAGGTTCGAAGGTCTAGCCATTCAGCTTTGAGTCTGAACGGTCAGAAATCAGAAATCCGGAGTTCGCACTTTGTCAAGTCTGAAGTCTGAAGTTTGAAGTATGAGGTCTGAAGTTGGAAGTCGGAAGTCGGAAGTCGGAACTCGGAACTCGGAAAAATCGGAAGTCGGAAGTTGGAAGTCAGAAGTCAGAAGTCAGAAGTCGGAAGACCCTCCTCGGCTTTCGTAACGAACAAACTAGTTAGTTCGCTACAGGGACACCTGGATGCGGTTATAGACTATCTGATATTTGTCTAGATACTAATTATTCCCTTCAAATTATAATTTTCAAGAACTCCTAGATCCAAAGCCAATTTTCCATAATTTTAGACACCCCCACCAATTTGTATTTATTAAAAACATTCGAAAAATCATCCATAAATTGTCAAACATTATTGAACCAATGACTCCTTCCTGCTCCGACCCTATTGAACCATTTTTTGGTTTAATGAAAACTTGGCTAGATTTGGAAGAAAAATGGCGATGATAAACGAAAAACAGGCTTCGATAAAAATAAGAAATAAATAGTTATGATAATAATAATAGTAGTGCTGAAACGGGGGAAGTTATGTAAAAGTGAAGGTATTAAGTTGATAAATGAACAGACGATAAAGGAAGTTGATGACGAAGGTTACAAGTATCTGGGCATTCTAGAGTTGGACAAGTTTAAGGAGAGGGAAATGAAAGACATGTTTCAAACAGAGTACTTAAGGCGGTTCAAACTTGTCATGAAATCTCAGCTCAATGGTAAGAACAAAATCAAAGCAGCAAACACTTAGGCTGTGTCGTTCATAAGGTATGGAGCAGGAACAATTAAATGGAATAAGGAGGAACTTCGGGAAATAGATAGGAAGTCTAGAAAAATCATGACAATGAATAAGGAGCTACACCCTAGAAGTAATGTTGCCAGAATATACCTACCCAGAAAGAAGGGAGGAAGAGGCCTGATCAGTTGTGAGAGCTGCGTGAGGAGAGAAGAGAACAACTTGAGTTGGTATGTGAGAAATAGTGGAGGTGTTACTCAGGAAAGTTGGAGATAGCAATGAAGTCAACATCTCAGAGGCTGTGGACCCAAAGTGAATGAAGTAAAGGAGACGGAGAATAAATGGAATCAGAAAAGAATGCATGGGCAGTATGTGTCATATGTGAAAGAAAAGGAAGGTACTGACTGGGATAGAACTTGGCAATGGATTGCAAAATATCAGGGCCTATATGGGCCTTGATTTGGTCCCATATAGTTCAATGGAAGTACTCATTCCATCTTAAAACAATTTTTTCCTATGGAGCCCTCTAATACAGCAAATACCGTGACTGCGTACAACTGGTAAGACCTTGCAGTTTTTCCGAGCTTGTTCAGGATTACTTTTTTTTCCACAAAATGGAAAGGATAATAAGCCATCCATTACATAAATTTTCTGTTGTTAAATGTTGCTTTTGTTATTTAAATATTTTTGAATTCAAACATATCAAATGATCCATGTGGCTGCTAGCCAGCCCAGGACCGCGCGGTAGTGTAATTTTCGCGCCCTTTTGGGGTCAGGTGACCAAGCCGTTATTTGTAAGTTGCATGATCGTTAGCTCGACGGTCAGAGATTGCTTCGCTCGCTAGTTCAGCGATGGATTTTGGTTTTTTCTGGACAAATTTATAATAGGCTCGCAAGGTATTAGTCTTTCTTTCGTTTGCTCTTTTATTTGGTTTATTATTTCGCCTGTTGTAATTTTCTAGTTAAGTTTGTATTCGTATTTGTTTACTTAGTACATTTCTCGTCGCATGTAATTAAGATCTTTCAATTGTATTTTCCTTTCTAGTTTTACGTCAACCTTATGTACTTGTCAGTAAAACAACAGCCGTTTTTCAGTGTAAGAATTCACCGCGTTTGAGTTGTTGTCTCAATGTGGTCACAGTAAAACTTGTGCCGTGCAAGATTCGAACCGCTCTTGTTGAGAGTTTGGAATCATGGATCGGACTTCCGAAGTTGTGGAAGATGGATCGGTTTTGAGCTTCGATGAAACAGCGGCCGGGATTGATGTTCCTGGAATCAGAAGGAGTACTCGTGTTCGCGTTCCTACTGAAAGGGGGTTGGATTATCAGCTCCCTCTTCGGAGAAAGAATTACAATCAATGTAAGAAGAAATTAGAAGATAAGCTGAACGCTCTAGATATGAGCTGGACTGAGCTGTCAGATCCAGAGGCTTTGAGAAAAGAGAGAACGTTTATAGAAGATTACAGAAAGGCCCTTACGGAGGGATCCTCAGAGTTCGTGCTGCTATTACCAAGCGAATATGCCAATGATGTGGTTCGTGAAACAGATTACTTGAACAGGCAAGCAATGGAGTTGAGGAAAAGGATTGGTGAAAGGATTTTCGAACTGGAAAAGGTGGAATTGCGGTCGCGTCGTAGTGGAAAAACGTCATCCTCCAAGAAAAGTAGTCGTTCTTCAAAGCACTCAAGTGCCTCTCAAATTTCTTTAATGAAGATTAAAACTATGACTGAGTTGGCCAAGAGGAAAGTTGAAATGCAATATGCAAGAATTGAAGCTCAAAAGCAAATGGAAATGCAAAGGAAGAAATTCGAAATAGAAGAAATTCAAAGACTGAAGAGTTACGAAAGTGCTAAAGCAGAAGCAGATGCGGTGGCGAAGATAGAAGATGAAGAAGGGAACCCCAAGTTGCTGAACCTTGACCAATTCGGGATCACTAAAGACAATAAGGAGGAACGGACTCGCAACTATGTCTCATCTTTAACAACTCTCTCCTCCACCGGCAGTCAGGATCCTTTACCATTCTTGTTTGAACCTTCGGCTAAAGATGAACATCCTTCTATGTCGCCGGAAATGGCCCTTGGCACACATCTAAATATGGTGCAAGGAACTAGCTCAGATCAAAAGGAAAC